ACTTTAAACCAAGACATATTTGTTATTTGTTTATGTTTGGCAAAGTGACTCCAAGTACCGTATGTGAACCCATGCTATGCTCATATTAATCCCAATGCCCTTTAGCATTGAGGTTAGCTTTTAGAGAGATTCGTAAAAAAAATATGTTCCCCTTCCGAATTGTCATACAAACATCATAAGTACCTAGGAGAGGTGCCAGCATGGGAGGGGCTTATGAGCTTATTACCTAGCCTCCATGAACAGTAGGTGACCACACCTTACCTGGTGATCTGGATTAAGGGGTCGCTGGGATCTCAAAATAATTCACCACTTGTGGTTTTAAAAGGATTACAAATAAAACACTCACACGCTTGTTAAAATATATTTTATTTTTCTACTTTTAACATTGCACCCACACTGGTTATTCTCACAAGGGAATTAATAAAAAAAATATTCACTCTATTTCTGGGGTCTTAACGTACCTTTTTTCTCACAGTATGACACACACCTGAGCATTCTCCCCTTAGAGTTATATACATTTTTTTTTCCTTTTATTTACTCTAATACAATCTTTTTTTGATTTATTAAACTATTTATTACTATTTACTAATCTATTGTCCATTGTAATAGAGTGAACAATGATACAGATGGAACTATAAGTCCAAATATCCCTGGAATCCTAAAGACTGACACCATTTTTTAACATCTATTGCTTTTTTAAGAGACTTAAAGAAGCCCAACTATGGGTGTGTGACTTCGGATTGTGTGTGTGTGTGTGTGTGTGTTATGACAAAGTTTTCCTTTCTTTTAAAGGGTTGAGGAGCAATGTAGTACACAATAATTTATATTCTATTGATAAAGTTATTTCTTTGTTTATAATTGAAAATTTACAGTTTGGTCCATTTTATAATCACTTTGGTGTGGCTTATCTTTAATAAGCTACATCTTTTCTTTTTCCATTGTAATCCCTTTACTTTTGTCTCTATTCGCATTCGTCTGCATCAAATCTCTCTTTTCCCTCCCTCTAACTAATAAATCCCTAAGCACCCATGCCCAACATGTTTCGCCCCTATTTGGGCTTTATCAGAGGTCTGTGCAAATTTTGCCAACTAAAAAAGTGATAGTGCTTTTGTGCCATCACATACATTTTGTGAACTGGATCATACTGTATGTATGTGCAGGCACAGTTGCGCATTTGTTATTTTCGTCTGAACAAACAGCTGACATACCACGCTGCACCATTATTCTTCCAACAAACTCCCCAACATTGTGAAAGTAAGTCTGTGCTGCCCTGTAATCTGTGTATAGGTGTTTTTCCATGTGTGCTTGGGTATGGTTTTATTGTTAATTGTTTTGCATTTTTGTATGTACATGCGCATGTAAATTCCTAGGTATCATACCCATGTGTCCATTTACTTTGATATATACTTCTCTCTCTCTTTCTTTCTTTCTCTCTCTATCTATGTATGTATATATACAGTATATATATATAGTATATAAGTATATAGTATATAGTATTTATATACAGTATATATCTATATATATACTGTATATAAATATACACACAATTATATGTGTGTGTGAGTATACACATATAAGAAAGTGTGTGGATACGTATCTTTCTAAATACATATAGATCTTTATATGGTTGAGTATGGTTTATATGGTTGAGTATGGTTTATATGGTTGCATTGTCTACATAGAAATAAACTTTTGAATGTTCTACATAATGTTTTTAATTTTTTTGTGTTTTTCAGTTTTTCCCCCACTACTGCTATGATTAGCAGAAGTCTGTCTTCTCCAAGAAGGAAATTATAGTGCACCAATGTGGACGGATATGGAGGCTGTTTGGTCATTGCCCAACAGTGTACGTATCTAGCATCAAACAGCATTCCATCTAGTATCAAAGCGCAATCCATCTTAAAAATTTATTTATGAACAATTTTGCACGGTACTATGACACAAACAAAAATTTGCAAACAAAACTCCAAACTTCAAGATGTATCATTGCTTTTTTTCACAACGCGGTAAAACGTGCACACATCATGGCACTTTTTATTTCTGCCGTAGGTGTAGTATGAACATTTTAAAAAAAAATCATTACCTTAGGGGTCTATTCACAAAGCTGCCGAGGGCAGCCGAGTGAATGACCGATCAGAAGTGAAGTGAGCCGAACACCGTTCGGCTATTCACTTCAGGCTGGTACGGCTGATTTCAGCCCTATATAGGCTGAAAACCAAAAAAACAGGAATTTTCTCACAGTATTTGAGAGATGTCCATTGTAAAGTACAAAAAAACACATGTTTAAACTCTAGCTACATAGACTAGTCATCGCAAATTAAATCTAGCTGGATGAATTTACATAGCTATGTAGTATGGTCATCTCAGCCAGTCAAACCTGTATCTGATAATAATGTGTTTGGTTTACAAAGTTACATAGTTATTAAGGTTGGAAAAGATACAAGTGCATCCAGTTCCACCAATAGATGAAAAAAAAAATGAAAACACAAAATCCTATACCCACAGTTGATCCAGAGGAAGGCAAAAATACTCTATAAAACGTGGTCCAATTTGCTCTAACGGGGAGAAAAATTATTTCCTGATCCCCGAAGACAAACGGAGATTCCCTGGATCAACAATCTCTGGTGTTATTCCTTGTAAATGTTAATATCCAGGTATATCCTGTTACCTGTTACTCTCACTTAGGTCCCATATTTTCCTGCTAAGGAAAGCAAAAAGTTTTGTGAGCAAAAATATAGTATAACAAGAAAACACGTCTAAACCATCTTTATGTGCAAACAAACAAACGAGGCTGGTATTTGCCTGTCAATAGAATAGATATAGATTACAATATTTCAGCAAATTATATTTGCTAAATACAATTAACTCTGCTCTAATTTAATGAAAAGCAATATGACCTACCACCTGCTCACCTGTACAATTTATATGTAGACATCGAGCCTAATAGCGAAGGTATAATTATTTGGTTTGGCATTTAATGAAGGAATGAAAAAAAAAAAACATTCTGTTTTAGAGGAACTATGAAAGCATATCTAAACCTAAAAGCAAAAGTCTAATATTTTAAAGTGTACCAATTGTTAAATGTAAAAGCTGCATTTGTTTTCTTTTTCTTTCTAATTTGTGTTCCTTTTTTATCACCTGGTGTTCTGGCCAGTAAGTCTTGTATTTTTCAACTGTCTTTAACAGCAAAAGTGGCATATAGAGGATTAAGACAAACCATTTGACAGGGGTGCTTTCAACGGTTAGCTTTTATTCATTTATGTGAATCATTTATCCCAATAGGAAAAAACATTTTTTTTGCTTAGAAAGTGTTAGCTGTAGTTCAGCTTCAATTTGTTAGCCAAGTCAAAATAATGTAAATCTGCTAGTCCATCTAACACTACCACAGACTGACAATGCTACTGTTCAAGGGTAGCCCCATTACTCCTCCATAGAGTGGAGCCATGCTAAGACAGGAGGTGCATTTCTGTCCAGATCACTAGGTGAAAATAAAGGAAAAAAGCCTAAAACAAATCAATAATAATGCAGCCACCACATTTAGGGATTAGTAAGCTGCAATATATAAACATTTAATCTTTGGGTTTACATAACGCTTAAATATAAGTTTATAGCTTGATGGTCTCAAGCGTACGGGAGAAAACACAAAGATTGATATACATATTAGACATGTATATTTTGTTTCGTTCCAAATGGATAATCGTAGGAATTTAATTACATTTGGACATTTGGATGCATCCGAATTTCCGAATTTGAACGTGTCTGAATGCGAACGAAATACTTTAGCAAAAATTTGGATCTGTCCAAATTTCATTCACAACTAAACTATATTGGACTTTGACACATGACAGAGAAAATTAAAATCCAAATCGATTTGATACAAAACAGATTTTTTGCAGAGTTACATGTCTAATGAATATGTTATGTGTTTTCCAATTTACTGTTTTTTTGGAAAATATTAACAATCCAAACCCAGATCTGGCAGTTATGGACAACTCTGAAAGAGAGAAAAAGTCAGGCAGCATGCAATCTGTTGGTTGAATTGATAACTACAGCTGCCCTCTTTAAGAATCCATTTTCTTCCCAAACTGCAATGCTTTCCTGCTGCCTCTTCCTGCAATCCTCTGTGTTATGATTGTTGCCTATGTCATAGCAAATAAGCTGTGAGCCTAGCAACTGACTTATGCGGAGAGCGGTGTAAACACTGTAAAATGGGCACTGATGATAGAAACACAGAAAGGTACTGAGAATGTTTCAGCTACCTCTAAAGTGCTGATTTAAAATAGAGAGCACATCCTATTCTCCACAAGACATGGCAATAATTACTGAACATTGCACCTTCATATTACATTTCAATTATAAATTGCACAGTGTGAAGTCTGCTGTGTCCTTCAGATGATTCTCTGCATAACACTACAAAGAACACCCGGGCATGACCTATCAAATTTAATATAATAGGTTTCCTTGTCTTCTTCTCATATTTTTACCCTCTTTCATTACAAAAAATTGGGCTTTACTTTTTTCATGAACCCAAAGCAAACAGGGCAGAAAGAATATTTGTAAAGCGCACAGCTGTGCTTTATAAATGTGCTGGAGTGCTTTAAAAAAAAAAAAAAAAAGCAGTGGTATGCCATTGGTTAGGCCATACTACTGCTTTACAAATCAACCCCTAAGTGCCTGTAAATTTACAGTAACCATAGAAAAAATATTGCCTCCAGTTTTCATGTACTTTAATCTTAATGTTAGTCTTCCAGTAAGTACCCATACCATGTTGCTTAACCTCCCTGGTGGTATGATTATGGAGGATTTTAGCATGCCAAAGTGGTACATTGTTTTTTATGGCAATTTGTTGTTTTATATTGTAGGCCTGTAATTCTTAGTATATCTTAGGAATAACTCACCTAAATCTGTCCAAACAAGAGTCCAATAGACATCCCGGGTATGATAAAGTTTGAAACACAAAATCATAAATTAACCTGCCCGAAAACGAAACTGAAAGTCGAATGCCGGAATCGGCCGGGCGAACACAGCAGAGGACACGGCGGGCTCGCAGGGAGAAGGTAAGTGACACTTTTGCGCACGCACTCGGGGGTTACCGCGCTTGGTACTGAAAATTAACCCCGAGCCACACTCGGGAATACCGCCAGGGAGGTTAAGAAGCCCTGATCCCATATGATCATACAACACAGCATACACTCAAAATTCAGAATACATAACCTATAAATCTTTATGGCAGGTTACAAATAAATAGGCAAACTAAAACAAGAAATAATAATTTGAAAGGGTCTTTTTGTCTGTTTGTGCCTACAAAATGTTTATAGATCTTTTTTTTTTTTTTACAAAACTATAAGCAACCAGAGTCAGGGCTCTGATAACTCATTTCAATTCTGTAAGCAAGGGAATTTTTCCAGCACAGCTAAAAGTTATCATGCTAATAATATGAAAAGAAGACTAGAGCTCCACCTGCAGGCTGCATAGAAGACTACATAATATTAGAATGTAATATTTCATATTTACCTAACAAAAAATAAATATATGTACATTCTTCTAATTTGGATCATAATAAACTAAAGAAAACATGTACAAAACCTCTACACATTCCCTTTAATGCATTTATTTTGCAGAAATAGTGTTATGCCAAGCTCAGAGTACCTGTCAGGGTTTACCGATCTCCTCTGAGAATCCCATCCAGGATTTCCGGAGGATCCGCTACTATCTCTAATGGATCTCACAGGACCCGGGCCAGTATGGCTAATAATAGTCTCAGATTCCAGACCAGGACATCCAGTTTACCCTAAGGTGAGGCTTGGCGTGTCGCCACTGATTCTGAGAGGTATTTAAGCACTAGCTCTGTAAGGAGCTGGTGCTGTGTCTTTTTGCTTCCTGTGTGTTAAGGAATTTTATATTTCTGCTTTTTTTCTCGTTGCTGACCTGGACCGTCTGACCCTTCTTCGCTTGCTGCCTGCCCTGATCTTCTGCCTGGACACGACTTCGCTCTTGTCTCCTGCGTTTATCCTCTGATTACTCGTTGCCGACCTTGGACCATCAGACCACCCTCTGCTAGCCGCCTGCCTTGAACTCTGCCTGGATCTGACTACTGTCTCCTCACTGGAGTCCTCCTGTTCTCGTCCATCCCTTGGCAAGGCAACCCTGGGGACCGCGACCTGGTACCAGCAAGCAGCCAAGCCTATCTCCACCATCAGGAGCTCTGGTGAACACCGATTGGTACTTAGACTCTGCCCGTCAGATAAGCCCATGTCATCTGACAGGGGGTGTCACCCTAACAAATAGAAAAACAAAGACCGTGTAAAAAAGAGAGACTCAGAGCTCAACATGGTATCTTTGCTCTGCGCTGAAGTGCCCTGAGAATCTTTACTTCTTGCACACATCCTAGTGTGTCCCATGCCTGCATCCCCCCTGCTGTGGTCTGTGGTTTCTTGCTTGTCCAAATGTCACTACTGTACCCCATATTAAAGTACAGTATATACCAGCAAGAGGAGACACAGAGCAATGAGCACAAAGTTACCCAACACAACCAAAAAGTGTCAGATGTTAAGCTACTTCAGGTGGCTTTCCTCTGCAATAGAGCAAAGATTTCACAAATGTGTGTGGGGACAGATGAGCATTAGAGCATAACTAAAGAGCGCAGATGTCAGGCTCAGAGATGTCATCGTCAGGCTCAGAGATGTCATCTCTGAGCCTGACAAAGGGGACCCTGTGTGGCCCCAAAAGCTCTTGCCAATGAGAGACAGCATCTGTCAGTAAATGAGCATCTAATTGCTGTTATTATCGTTGTTGGAGTGCTGGTGACGTCTTTCTTTTTGTCTACATGTGGCAGCGTCATCCGCAGTCATTTCAAGCACCCGTCTTTTTTTGGGGAGTCCCGGTAAGGAGTGCGGCAAGTTTTCTTTTTTTTCCATAGTCAATAAAGAAGCTTTGTCAGTTTGGTAATAAGAAAACTGATGCAAATTAAAACCAAGTACTTTTTTGTGACAGGATGAAGATATACAGTATGTGAAAGCAAATGCCCTTTATTGACGCATATTGTCTCATAGATGGCAACGTTTTGGGGCCATGAAGGGTCACTTCATCAGTATCAGTACCCTGCAGGACCCCGAAACATTGCCAGCTATGTGACAATATGCATCAATAAAGGATGTTTGCTTTGACATATATATTCGGTGTGCTGGTGACATCTTGTTACTTAATTGATTCAAGAAAGAAAGGAATTTCTCAGCATTTCAGCACCCAATTTAAGGGTTTTTTTGTTAAGAAGTGCGGTGGTGGGGGGCGTGGCTTACCTATGGCGGCGGCTGGACGTGTGTAATTGAAGCTCCCGCTCCATCCCCGAGCTGCTCATGACACAAGGACACTTCGCCGGACTCCCTTACTATCCTCATGGGGGGGAAAAGAGGCCAAAAGTCGGCCTCAGCCAAGAGGCCGCACGCGGGCTCACTCAAGCGCCTATGGGCAGCGGAATCCCCGCCGGATGATCGTGGGGCCCTGCACGCGCCTCCAACCCTCTCGCCAGCGCGGCCTGCAAGTGCGGTGGTATAGCTTTTGGACCTGATCCAGCTGAAACCTGCCTCAGACACATATGCAACACTTTGGACAGAGACGTGACACATCTGTGTACTTTATCAGTGTGCATATATCTTTCCCAAAGTTTCTCTCGCAAGCCGGTTTCACAGGTTTGCACCAAATTCATGAATGCTATGCAGCCTTGTATAGGAGTTTGGTGCAAATAACAACACTGTAACCTTAAGACACTTTTCTTATCTGTCTCGGCCACATTCTTTGATTTCCCCAATAGTTGCTGCTGTAATAAAGAGCCTGCCTGCTCGCAATGTATTATTTTTTTTTACTTTAGCTCTGCTTTAAATCTCTCTTTATTCTATCTCTCTTTATTTTCTAATTGTTATTTTAGTAACAGAGATGCTATATAGGAAACTCTGCACAAAGGAAAAACAGTAGCACTCATGATTTGCTTATGGAAATGCTTTTTTAATGGCCAACACTGTCCTATATGCTTTCTGAGATACTGGCCTAGAAGAAGCATGCAGCCAGTAAGCAGAAGAGAGCAAGTAAAGGTATTTGCTATAGGGTCCCATCATATATATTTACAGTGCTTCCTCTGACAGTGAAATGTCTTGCACATGTTATATCTCCCACACTATGCATATTTTTGTTTTAACATACTTGATAAAATTGGTGAGAAAAATCAAATTATAATTTCTCAGAAAAACAAATATGTTCAGTGCAAATTTAAAATGTGTCAGATTCGTAATGATGCTATTTCTGTGTGGTGCCTACTACCCTATTTTCAGACAAGCCAAATTCTTCCCTGTATCTGCTGCTCCCAGCAGGTCTGTCTATGCCCATTAGATGGGGAACTAACACATGTAGATTCTGTTTCTCTGCATCGCTTATAACAATAAATAAAGGTACTCCATTTTTAGCTCTTCATACAAATCCAGCTAGCGAAAATGTGCATTCAAGGATGAAATAAAGAATATATATTGTCTGTAGCTGACATGTTAAAGAAATGTAAAAGCCTCCTGGAGTTTTGAAGAAGCTTGTAATTATAGTTTTCAGAAGATGCACTGATCACCATAACTATGTGAAAATGGAAATCTCTTTATGATTGTGCAGATACAATCTAGCATAGGATATAATAGGATGTTTCCATGCTTGGACGTATTGCTACAAAACTGCTACATGAAATAACTCTAAATTTGTCACAGATACAGCAATCTTATCAGTAGACATATTTTCAACCTACTAAAACAAGAACAAGACATAGAAACAAAATACTTAATACATGTGCACAATTATCTTCTTTACTTTTCTTTGTGTACAGGATATCTCACCCATCTCCCATGAGTGCAAGAAGTGCAGGGTGTGCACAGAAGCTGGGAGGCCATAAGCCACATCTCTTCATGTAGAGTTCTAGGTAAAGCTTGGAGAAATAAGGATTCAAGCATCTGTGCTGAAAAGGGTATGGTATTCTTTAAGGACTGGTTAACTTTAACATAAAAACTCTCTTCCTACCCATCCCTAGACTCCTAACCTATTCTAACATAAAATCCCCATCCAAGAATCAAGTTACCTCCTTCCAATGGCAGAAGCCTCCCATGGTGCTTAGCTGCAGAAAACTTGCACTACACTGCACAATTACATCCTATAGACTTGAATAAGCTACACCCATGTTGTTGGAGCAAGGTTACATTCTAATCTATAGGCAGTTACTGCATAGGTGCCGGCAGCATGGGACAAAAAGTTCTGCAGCTTTTACAGTGTATTATGTATTACAGGATCCCCAAGGCCCTGCCAGGGATCCAGGACCAATGTAAGTATATGTATATGTGTGTGCGTTTGTAGATATATAATATATATATATATATATTTATTTATTTATTTTAAAGCTGTAGTTCTACTTTATCAGACAATACCATAAACATGCCTGATTGTGTTGCTTGAAGAAGAACTCAAATAAAAAAAACTTTCCATTGCAGTGGGCTTGTTAAGTGTTTATATTGACCTAGGGGCTGGAATAAAGCAGAATGACTTACCTGATCCCAGCTTCCTCCAGGCTGCTAGACTGGTCTCCGTCTCTTCTAACCCTTGCTCTGGTGATCTAAGGACCGCAGACATCATCACGTCTCATGCAGGTCCATTGACCCGCATTAGACCTGAGGATGCAGAGGAACATTCCACAGCGGAGGGGGAAAGAGGTTACTGCTGTGTGACTGAGGATCAGGTAAGTAAAGCAGCTTTATCTGAGTGCCCTAGACAAAATGAGCACATAACTCTTGCAGTGCAGGCAGCCCCACTACAAGGATAAGTGTTTTTATTTGCCTGCAGTTCTTCTTTAAACATGCACATTTATGTCAATGTAGAAAGAGGGATGCGCGAGAACAGAAATCTCTGTTGCCAGCATAAACCTGTGAGAAAAATACTAAAAAGATGAAAACAAATTAAAATTTTTCAGAAGTCTAGTTGTCTAAGTACCAAGAATATGTATAAGTTTTAACTGCACAACCAGGCTGTGGAATACACTATTCTTGGTAAATTAATTGGCATAAGTATTAGCTTTAACAATTTCATTTATCTGACTAGTGGGGAGAGGTAGTATGCTTTAAGGCGCCCACACAATGTAGAATTACGGCTGGTTTTTATGTACCGGACGAAATTTGCACAGTGTCTTGGACTGTCGGCCAAGGTCCAAGTGTCCAAGTGTTGTTGCTCATGCAAACAGGCAACGTATAGAGGAAAACAATTGTCTGAAATATTCAAGTAATCCTAAAAATTGTCTAGAGTTTGATTCCCACTCATCTGACCAGTAACTAAGACTATCTCCCCCCTGCAAATGACAAATAATAAAATTCCAAGAAGGTCAATGTTGGTTAAAAATAGTAACTTCCCATCCAGTTCACGGCACTGATAGTTGAAAAAACCTGGGAATTCATAAACAGAGTAGCACTTTAGCCCTCTTTTGCTATATATATGGAAACAGCATTAAAATAGCTCAGTAATAATGCACTGTCTATGTATAACTGCATAAATGTAAATATACATTGCATGGCATACATCATTTATTCCTAGAAAAATATACTCTGAAAGTTGACATACAGAAACCTGAGGCTAATGGTATAAGACACTTGCTTTTGTTCCATTGGCGTGATTGGAAGTGGCACTGTATGCTAACCAGAGACATACAAAAAATGTTTCTTAAAGCTGACTGCAGTGTCTGGGTAGTTTAAAGATCCAATGGCCTCTTTTCTCAAAGTGACCTTTTCGCAAAGTCTCCATTTTTTATTGATTGCTCGTTTCTCATCCTTCCAGATGGATGAAGTGAAAAGGGTGCCATAAAAAACACACAGGAATAAAACTGGTGACAGTTGTGCTTTGCAGTTGTGCTGATGTGTTACGAAAATAACTCAGTCCTCCAGATGAGATTAGGAAAGACAAAACACAAGCCAGCGGTTGGATCAGATGTGATGACAACACACAGACATTTGGCTTAGATGCTGTAAAAAGTAGAAAATGATCATTTAGCTGCATTATTTTCGTATACCCACTAAATAACTAAGGGGTCTATTCACGAAGCTGCCGAAGGATCTGGCCGTAGCTTCGGCCGATCCTTCGGCTAGCTTCGGCCCCAGGGCGCCTTTGGTTCAGTAGAACCGAAGGGGTGCTGTAAGGGCTATTCACAATAGCCGTACAGCTCCCGATCGCGGCCGATCGGCTCAGCCGAGCCGAACGCATATGCATCGGCTCGGTTGAGCCGTGCTGAAAGCCGGCCCACAGCCTATTCTTTTTTTTTCTCTATTCTGACATCGCAGCAGGGCCGCCGGACAATAGGAAACTATTAGGCGGAGCTAGCTGTCACTGCTAGCTCCGCACAATCGTTTTCTATTTACTTTTTTTTACTTTTTTTAAACTTTTTCTGTTCAATGTTCGGCCGACCCGAAGCCACTCGAAGCAACCCGGTGTACGGCTGATTTCAGCCGATGTACGGCTGAAATCAGCCGTACCAGCCTGAAGTGAATAGCCGAACAGTGTTCGGCTCACTTCAGATCGGTCATTCACTCGGCTGCCCTCGGCAGCTTCGTGAATAGACCCCTAAGTGTTAAAAACAATCCACAATAGAAGTATTTATAGGTGCTATTTTTTTCTGGTCATATGGGTTGCCCAATAGTAAGAGCCATTATTGTTTAAAAACATGAGGTATCAACTAGTTCTAAGACAATTGAGTTGTGTGCAGGAAACTGAAGCATAGGAGCTGCTTTTTGCTGCTTACATTTTTAAGTGCTTTCTACATCCTTAAAATCCTAACTAGCATCCCCCCTAAGGGAGGAGTGAAGTTATGTATTAACCCTGTCTGTAATGTGCTAGCAGAGTTCATTATATGTTGTAAATTAGATTTGAACACTGTCTGCCCTAACAAAGGGTTAAAGATTAGAGGCATTGTATGTTAAGTAGCTCAGACTATCTCTCAGTTTGTCCCTCTACTTTCAAATGCTCAGAGTAGCTTGAAATCTGCACAAAGGCCTTAACCAAAGAAACATCTAAAGTTAGAAATATAAAAATATTTTTTTAGGTATGCTGTGTGAATAGGAAACACATAACAATTCTAAAGTGGGGCTTTCCCAAACTTGACCAAGAAAGGGGAAATACACTTTAAGGGCTCGCCCACTTACTGGGAGATTCGGAGACCACAGGGTACCACAGAGCAAGAATGAGCATTGCTGGTTATATGTTTCATTCTAGATGAAACGCGCAATTAACCCTTGTGGTGCAGGGGGCTCTGCTTGTCAATTTTTAGAACTACTTGGAGTTCAGCTTTATTAAGGAGTGCAGAGATTAGTGACACCATCCAAAGTGCAATAACATGCAGCAACCAGAATCATAAAACGCAGCAATGCAGAATCAGATTAAATTTTCTAAAAGCATATCAGTGAATAGTAGTTTCTAAATTGTTGCAATGAACTCTGTTTTTTGCAGAGGGTGCTTTGCCAATTTAATAAGCATTCTAGTATCCATATTCTGTATCTTAAAAATGTATTTAAACTGCCACAGTCACATTATCTCTCTCAATGAGGCTGCACTATTCTAAGTGCCCAAAGTTATAAAATCATGCTCATTAACATGTTTTAAATTGGTTTTGCAATTGTATTATTACATAGTGTGGAAATGTTCAACTGGTACAGTATTTTAACTTATATACAGTATACATCTCCCGATTTCCACTCCTTGCAGAGTGCTGATGTTTGAAAGTACTATCAGTCACATCCCTGACAACTTTGTTTAGGTCTCACTAAACACAGAGATTTGCCGGCTAACAAAGAAGTATATTTTAGATGACAGTCTACAGTCTGTTACTATTTTACAAAATGCTAAAAATAAGGATGGCATTAAGATGTGCAGACCTCCCATTTAGAGCAAGGCATACCGAATTACAGCTGCTGGATTATTTAGCTTTTCATATACATCCTGCAAAGGACTGTGTCCCATCTTCACTGCCTGAAACAAGGGACCTTGTCCTCTATGTCACATTACACATAAGCCATATGCCTCTACAGAAGAATCCATTTAACCTATTAATTTCTTATCATATTATTTTTTTCAGCAGCCCTTTGTATCATTCTCAGTAAACATTGTGATAAACCAAAAGTCATGGCCACGAAAAGTTTAATTCTCAGTTGTTCAGGTTCATAATCAGCCCAGTTTATGCATATGACAGATATGTGAACATTTAGCTAGTCTACGGACTTCAAACTAATTACATGTGCTAAACAAGCATGCAAATACCTCTCAAACAAGTACTTCCTTATTCCAGATTACGCAGGTAATTAGCAGTAATTTCATCTGGAATTTTACAGCCGGGGCAACTTGCAATGAAGTTGCCCTCTCTGACTGGCATACTGACTCACTCACTCACTCCCCCCTCCCATCTGAGACACTGCATTATTTTCATGTCACTCTGTTTAAAATCTTGCTTGATCCGCCTGATTGGAATGTTAACAATCTTATGCCAATTAAGAGGGATCACCCAGGGATGCTGCCAGCAAATGCACTTCCCCCAGTATAACTCACATTAAAAACAAAAAAGAGACAAGCTAGCGCTTCTCAAACTGCCAAAACAAAGTGAGCTGGCTGGGTTGCGCTCCAGTGCGTTTCAGAGGCTGAACGCAATGGAACACACTCTTTATGTTGTGACAGGGCCCTGAAAGGGCCCTAAGGCTGGCAACACACCTATAATTTTTTTTCGTTTAACTCATGAACCGAACAAACAACATTTACCCGATTCCTCCTTGGTTGACTGCTCTGATCGATGGGAAATTTTCCAGACAGCTCCTTCAATCAGCTGATCAAGGATTGCCAGCTGGAAGGGAGCCGACCGCCCCACACACTGTTCGAATTTCTGCCAGTACATTAAATAACGTCCGAAAATCCAACCAGTGTATGGGGACCTTTAAACAAATAACTAGCTCAAAACTATGGTTCCAATAGAAAAGTCCTCTTCATGCAATAAATAGTTCAATGACTAAGTTGTTAGATGTCAAAAGTTTGAGCTGATTATCATACACACTTAAAAACACAGCAGTAGCCCTCATGCAGTCAATGCTGACACAGCAATTGCAAAGAAAAACACAGTACCTTTCAAAACTTCTCTACTCATATAAAGCTTTTTGGGGTCAGATAAAGTGTCTTATAGTCTTGATGCTCACAATATCAAGGATATAACTCCTCTTTCTCCATCGCAGCCAAAAGGGAATTTTCATCTTAGGATGCCATTGCGTTGGTATTGTGTATCAGTCCACTCCATGTATTGAATGACATAACCTCACTCCCAGGTTGTGGTTTCTCCAGTAATGATCCACACTCTCTCCAGCTGTGCACAGTACTAAGGCCTGGCTTCTACCTGAGCTTATATCTCCAGGAATGCAGCAGATAAGCTCTAATACAAAAATGTAGACCTCTCCCTTATGCAGTATATATGTTTATTAGAAAAATAATAAAATAGGGCTTACATGTAATCTTAAAAGAATGGAAGGAAGTAACGTCACCCGGATAATCCCATCAGAAGCCGGCTCCCTTCATTGGTGACCCTTGGTAACTTCACACATAGTACTTGTGATCTCCTACTTCCTAATGCATTTCGATGGTATCACCATCTTTCTCACCCGGCCCAACTCTCCAGAATGACTCCCAGACTGCATGGTGCAGTAAAAAAGAAAAGAAGATGATGAAAAG